GAGGAGAGATTGACTAGGTTGGGATTGTTTTTGCTAGAGTTCAGACGGATGAGGGGGAACCTCATAGAGACTTATAAAATTCTAACAGGACTAAACAGGGTAGATGCAGGGAGGGTGTTCCCAATGGTTCCCAGGGGTCACAGTATGAGGATTCGGGGTAGATGATTTAGGACGGAGATGAGGAGACATTTCTTCACCCAGAGACTGATGAGCCTGTGGAGTTCATTACCACAGGAAGTAGTTGATGGCAAAGCACTGAATGTATTCAAGAGGCGACTAGATATAGCACTTGGGGCGAATGGGATCAAAGGTTATTGGGAGAAAGCAGGATTAGGCTGTTGAGATGGATGAACAGCCATGATCGTGATGAATGTGGGAGCAGGTTCAAAGGGCCGAATGGCCTCATCCTGCTCCGATCTTCTATATTTCGGCGTTTCTATCCAGCCTTTCCTACATTCTGGTGTGTGAACAGCCCAGGACCTGCCCTGGGAATTCTGTTCAGTTGGATAACACTGCATTCCTAAAGCCTAGATTTGCCTTTGTTGGCAATTCTCCTCCGATAGCCTGCAATAGTGACCAGGCGTTCTCCGCCGATTCACACACCAGGCCGTTGGCTCCCTTCTCCTTGTCAGCCCCATGAATGTTCCAGCCCAAAGCCCCTCAGGCCTGAAGTGCCTCAGAAATCAGACCTCCTCAGATAACAGTGAGGTTCCCTCCTGAGCAAGCTGTGTGATTGAACCTGCCCGAATGCCCTAACTACTTCCTGTGTGAAAATGTTTATCCGTATGGCCCCTTGGCCTCCCGCGCCGACTGCCTCAAATATTGTGCGCTGCACCATTTGGAGGTTTCACTGCATTCAACTAAAACCACATCAGGGTCACAGCTTTCCTTAATTTGTATCCGGTGTGACAGTGACCTCCCCCAGTCTGATCCTGATTCCCCCCCCCCCCCCCCCCCCCCCCGCGGGGCCGCCCCCCCCCCCCAAACCGTGTGACAGTCCCCCCCCCCCCGGTGTGACCCTGACACCCCCCGCCCAGTGTGACAGTGACCCCACCCCGATGTGACCTGTGAACCTATGGTGATGGTCTCTTTCCCCTTCTGCAGGTGCGGGATGTTAACAAGGAGCCCACAGGCCACATTTCCTTTCTCCGCAAACCAACAAAATACGAAGATATCCAGCAAGTAATCTGTAACCTGAACATTACCATGCCTCCCTGTACAAAGGTAACCTGGGTCTGCATGTTGTTTACCACCGAAACCATCACCTTCAACTCCCAACCCAGAACCAAGACCCTCACTGCATGACCCACACCCATGCTGCACCCCCCGCCCCCTCACCAAACCCTTGGGCCCTGGCACATCACACCCTGTTCCAAACTATCTCCCTCACCGATCACTCCCCTTCACCCTCCCAGTCCCCACCTCTCCCGCCAACCCTTTTTCCCCCATTCCCCACTCTCCCCCC